GCTAAAGGAAGCCTGAAGATTATTGTAAAATATCATATTAGAAGACTAAGAAAGTCTATGCCTCGGATCCAAAAGACCAGGCATGTGAACAAACACTCTGAGAGAGAGGGGAATAGAAAGGATGTCATATGTTTGGGAATTGGTGAGGGGATTGTCTGCCATCTTTAAAAAGCAAAATAAAATTGCTGATGTAGCTTCGAAAAGCCACAGACTGCATCTAGGTAAAAGGGAAAGAAACTGCTCAAAAAGATTATATGGAACATCATGCTAGGCACTAAAAAGATGCTAATAAAAATATTTGTTCATTGTATATCTATCTACTTTTTAAATTTTTTAAGTTATTTTTTTAAAGATTTTATTTATTTATTTTTATTTTTAGAGAGAGGGGAGGGAAGGAAAAAGAGAGGGAGAGAAACATCAATGTGTGCCTGTCTCTCAGGCACCCCCACTCTGGGGACCTGGTCCGCAGTCCAGGCCTAGGAATCAAACTGGCAATTCTTTGGTTCACAGGCTAGCACACTATACACTGAGCCACACCAGCCACGGTGTTATTGGATGTATAATTTTTCATTTAATCGTACACAGTCTTACTTTTCTATATTTGTTTAGCCTCAACAACTAAATTATAAATGTAGTGAGGACAGAAACCATCCCTTCATTGAAAATAAAGGCTAAGTGCTAAAAATGGGTTGGGCAAAAGGGACAAAAGAGACACTACGATAGATAGCAGCCAACACTGAGCATCAAAAATGTACTAGGCATTTTTCTAAGCACTTTATAAGGATCCTTATCTAAAAACTATGATGCAGGACTTACGGCCAAGATGGAGGCGTGGATGGCAATACTGTACCTCCTCACGCAACCAAAATTAAGAACAACAACAATTTAGAAACAAAAACACAACCAGAACAGACAGAAAATTGAACTGTATGGAAGTCTGACAACCATTCAACCAGACCGGTAAGAGGGGCAGAGTCGGCGAACAGTGGAGAAGGATTGTGGCAGGAAAAGGTGGTGGCTGCCAGACCCTGGAGCACAGGCGGCACAGGGCTAGCGGACCCCGGGTGTGGGGAGGAAACTAGCACAGCATGCAAGGCAGTTGGCTGACTGTGGTCACACATTCGTGCTCAGATAAACCAGGCAAAAACGGGCAGCGAGACAGACAGAGCAACCCAGGGCCCCAGTGATGGGAAATAAAGCCTAAAGGAACTGATTGAAAAAATTTGCAGGGGTTGAGGTGCTAGGAGTGGCTCCCAGCCTCACAGGAGAGTTCGTTGGAGAGACCCACAGGGTCCTAGAATGTACACAAGCCCACACACCTGGGAACCAGCACCAGAAGGGCCCAATTTACTTGTGAGAAGCGGCAGAGGGGACTGAAATCCAAGAGAGAGTGGAACAAGTGCCATTGTTCCCTCTCTGACCCTGCCCCTACATACAGCGTCACAACCCAGCAACGTGGGTTGCCTCGCCCTGGTGAACACCTGAGGCTCTGCCATTCATACATGACAGGCAAGACCTGACCAAAAATTATGGCTCAAACAGAAGAACAGCTCAAAGCCCCAGAGCCAATACTTCTAAATGACCAAGAGATAGCCAAGCTATCAGATGGACAGTTCAAAACACTGGTGATCAGGATGCTCACAGAACTGGTTGATTTTGATTGCAAATTAGATAAAAAAACTGAAGGCTACGCTAAGTGAAATGAAGGAAAATGCACAGGGAACCAATAGTGAAGGAAAGAAAACTGGGCCTCAAATCGATGGAATGGACCAGAAGGAAGAAAGAAACAACCAAACAGAAAAGAATGAAGCAACAAGAATTCAAAAAAATGAGGAGAGGCTGAGAAACCTCCAGGACATCTTTGAATGTTCCAGCATCTGAGTTGTAGGGGTACCAGAAGGGGAAGAGGAAGAACAACAAGTGGAAAACTTATTTGAACAAATAATAAAGGAGAACTTCCCCATTCTGGCAAAGGAAATAGAGTTCCAGGAAGTCCAGGAAGCTCAGAGTGTCCCAAAGAAGCTGGATCCAAGGAGGAATACACCAAGGCACATTATAATCACATTAGCCAAGATTAAAATGAAGGAGAAAATCCTAGAAGCAGCAAGAGTAAGGGGACAGTCGCCTACAAAGGAGTTCCCATCAGACTGTCAGCTGATTTCTCAAAAGAAACCTTGCAGGCAAGAAGGGGTTGGAAAGAGTATTCCACATCATGAAATGCAAGGACCTACATCCAAGATTGCTCTATCCGGCAAAGCTTTCATTTAGAGTGGAAGGGCAGATAAAGTGCTTCTCAGATAAGGTCAAGTTCAAGGAGTTCATCATCACCAAACCCTTATTATATGAAATGTTAAAGGGACTTATCTAAGAAAAAGAAGATAAAAATACAAACAGTGAAAGGACAGCAAACTCACAGTTATTAACAATCATACCTACAACAAAAGCAAACTAAGCGGACAGCTATATCAGGAGTGGAGGCACAGAAATGGAGATCACATGGAGGGTTAGCAACAGGGGAGTGGGAGGAGGAGGGGAGAGAAGGTACAGAGAATAAGTAGCATAGACAGTGGGGAGAGAATAGGGGGAGGGCAAGAGTAGTGTGGGAAATGTAGAAGCTAAAGAACTTATGACACATGAACATGAACTAAAGGGGGGGAATGTGGGTGGGTGAGGGTGTACAGGGTGGAAGGGAATGAAAGGGGGGAAATAGGACAACTGTAATGGCATAATCAATGAAATATATTAAAAAATAAATAAATAAAACTATGATGCAGGCAGTTTTACTATCTTCCTGGTTTACAGATAAATAAACAGAAATAATCTTCCAGGACTACACAGCTAAGTGATAGAGGTTTCTTCTACCTACTTTGTCATTCTGCTTTTCCAAAGGATGCAAGATGAGTTTAAGGGATTTAACAAGGCATTCTATGATGTGGTTAGGGTCATAGTTAGGCTCAGAAGAGGCTGAAGAAGTTAGGGAAGATTCCTTGGAGGATGTAGAACTTAACCTGGACTTTAAGGATGAGTAAGAGATGAATAGGTAAAAAGGAGAGAGGGAATGGGGTGAGTAGCATCAGGAATTGAAGCAAAACATGCTTTGTATTATGGTCTTTGTATTCCCCAATACATGGGAAATGAATGAATAAAAGTGTCTTTAACTACAACAAGACATGGAAACAACCTAAGTGTCCATCAATGGATGTCTAGATAAAGAATTTGTGGTATGTATAGAAAATGGATTCTCATGCATCCACAGAAAAGAAGGAATTCCTACCATTTGCAGCAACATGGATGGACCTTGAGAGCATTATAAGTGAAATAAGTCAGAGAAGGACAAATATTGTATGATCTCACTTATATTTGGAATATAAACATAAAACAAACTCAGGAAGGGATCAGAATTATGGTTACTAGAGACAGGGGGAGGGGTAATTAGATAAAAATGGTCAAGAGGTACAAACTTCCAATTATAAGTAAGTATTGGGGATGAAATGTACAATATGGTGACTATAGTTAACACTGCTGTGTAGTATATTTGAAAGTTGTTAAGAATATAGATCCTAAGAGGTCTCATTACAAAACATTTTTAAATATCCATATGAGATGATGGATGTTAACTTATTGTGGTAACCTTTTCACAATATATGTAAGTCAAATCATTATGTTATATACCTTAAACTTAATCAGTGTTGTATGTCAATTACCTCTCAATAAAACAAGGGGGAAATGTTTTCTTAAATAAATCTAAAGCAGAAAGCCACAGAGACAAATCAATGGGACCTCCTGATGCCATGACACAGAAAGTGAAGGAAAGAGATGAAAACGATTGTAGATTTCATTTCATCTTTCATTGAAGAAAAAATAGGCAGGTTCTCTATTCAAGTCATCTCTTAAAGCTTATGGTTGAGGAATAGTAGCTTAAGATCCAAATGACGAAGACATGCATTAACATGATTGGATGAAATCCACTCAACAATTTGGAAAACTTTATATTTTCAACATATACTTCCTCTTTCCAACTCTGTTTTAGTTCTTCTTTTAGGTTGGGTGCTGCTGCTGCTGCTGCTAAAACAAACATTGACAGCTCACCACAGCCAGAACTAGAACAACCATACTGCAGATACGGAACCACTTTTTATGGCCTTTAATGTATAACTTTGTCAAAGATTCTTTGAATTTCTAAGTACAGTCTTGCTCACTCTGGACAACTAGAGAGCTGTGTTGTCCTCTTCATAAAAAGTAAGTTAAGTTTGTTTCTGTGTTCAGGGATGCTATTTCACCAAAGAGACACCCACTCACTGGATGAAAATCAAATGTATCATTGGCAGTCATCAGAGTTAGCTCTGAAGTCACTCTTATGAATGAAAGTTCTCTTGGCAAAAAGCCAGTCCTCTTGCACAGGGCTGTGAAGACAATACAGATTACATACAAATTACACAGGTATCCCCCAAGTTCAGTCTATCCTTTCATGCCAATTCAAAGCTATTTGGACTTCTTGCAGCTCTCCCTGATCACTACAGATAATAGTTTTTGAACTCACAACAATTACTTGTACTAGTAAGCTGAGACAGTTACATTCTTTGATTATGTAAGTGTCCACTGTCATCATGACAGCATCTTTAAGAGCAGCAAGCATTAACTGAGTGTTTCCCGTAAATGAGACCATAAGCTCTTCAAGTGCAGAGACTATATTGTAAATTTTTTAAGACTACACAGCTCCCTTTGGGAAGTACTAAAATTTTTTTTAAAAATATTGAATTGAATTAAATACAAGGAAGAAGACATATGTCTAAGATCCTGTGAATGTCACCTGCACTAACTTTGCCTCTGCCACCTATAATGAGAAATTAGATGGCTGTTTGCTCTTTTAATATACAATATAGACTTCAGAGCAAAATTCTGCCTTTATCAGAAAAGCACTTTTATAAATTAAGATTGCCAGGTTTCTAAGCCAAAGGCTTAGAGAAGTAAGTACAGTCTAATACATAGAAATAACATCTGTGCTTGCTTTGGCAGCACATACACTAAAATTAGAACACAGAGAAAATTAGGATGGCCCCTGCACAAGGATGACACACAAATTCATAAAACGTTTCATATTTTTAAAAATCCAACATGAATTGAGCATTTACTATGTGATAAGTACTATTCTAATCACACTGTGTGCCATGTAATATGGCAATACATATTATATATGCTAGATATTTATATGGCACATATATTTTTTCTTTAATCCTCTTAATTATTATTCTACCCAGGAAAGTAAATAACTTGCCCAAGGTCCACAAGTGAGACAGACGCAAGCCCTAATTCATGAAACATACACTGATTAAGAGATAAACCATGTATGGAGCAGCCCTTTGTGTGTTAGAGGTCACACTTGGAGCACAGAGGGCTGCAAGCCAGATTAAATAAAATCAGGAAGCAAGGTAATGAATGGAAAGACAATAGAGTTCATAGATAATTTCCTTCAGTATTGTGCCCAAGAGAAGTGAATGGGGATTGGAACAATGCTAGAAGTTTACAGTGTGACCTGGCCAGGTAGCTCCCTGGGTTAGAGTGTCATCCCCATACACAACTGTTGCAGGTTAGATCCCTAGTCAGGGCATATACAAGAAACAACCAATGAATGTAGAAATAAGTGGATCAACAAACTTATGTCTCTCTCTAAAATTAATAATAAAAATAATAAGTTAATGGTGTGAGCGAATAGTGGCAAAGAGGGATGGCTGCTGAAAATGAGAGCTTCTGACAGCTAGACATGTGAGTAAGGGTTATCCTTAGGGTGGGGTGAAGTTATAATCTCTAAAGCAGTGAGCCAAGAATCTCTTGTGTCTTGCACTGGTATTGACTAATTCAGTCAATTGATCAATAAACATTTGCTAAAGAGCTACTATGTTTAAGGTACTGCGTTAAGTACCAGGGAGATATACAGAGGGAAAAGACATAGTCCTAGTGTCTGCTTAAGAATCTTTTTATCCCAATAAGAGAAGATACATAGAATCGTAAAGACTGTGAGCTATAGGGAAACCTAAAGATCTTCTCATCTAATCTCTTTGCTTTTATAGATGACCAAGTATTTATATAGATGACCAAAACCAAGTATCAGGGACAAGAAGTGATTTGACGAAGTTTCCACAACATTTTCAAATCAAGAGTAGAACCCAGAATGTATTGCTACCCCAGGCTTTCTGTTTTCTTATATAGATATAATTAGTAATAAAGGTAATGTTTGCCAAGTATCAAGTTAATGGTATAGGCAATGCGTTGCTTCTTACCATAATATGTTTACAAAGTCAAGGTCTAAATGCTAAAACATTTTCTGGGGAATTTTCAGGTGCAAAGGGACTTTCCCAGTTGTCTCTTCAGCTGCTTTAGCATGAAAACAGAAAATGGCCCCTCCTCTGTGCTCTCCAAGCACCTGTGTCACCTCAATCATACACGTCACGTGCAATCTTGATATGTGTAGCTTGCTAGTTCTGAAAATGTGTGGTTTCCAGACTAGCAGCACCTGGAAACTTGTTAGAAATGCAAATTCTTGGGCCCACTCCAGATCCACTGAATCAGAAACTCTGGGGGTGGGGCCCAGTGATCTGTGTTTTAACAAGCCCTCCAGGTGACACTAATGTGCTTTTGAGCTTGAGAACCTCTGGTCTCTGCAAAGGGCCCTTCATAGTTCTTAAAAGACAGGGCCCTTCATAGTTCTTAAAAGACGGGGACCATGTCAACCACAGTTTTTGTTTTCCTAGCTTAGTACCAAGCCTTGAACAGTAGATGTTCATCAATATTTCTGAAACAACTATAGAAGTGAACAAAGCATCCCATAACCAACTCTCTTCAGGTAATGATCAGCACCGTTATGTTCATTTTATGTTATGGGCTGAGTAGTGTTCCAAAATTCATACATTTAGGTCTAACTACCACACCCCACCCCCACCGCCATCTACCACATACCTCAGAATGTGTACTTGTAAATAGGACCTTTAAAGAGGTAATTAAGGTAAACTAAGGTCATATGCATGGGTCTTAATTCAACATGACTGGTATCCTTATAAGAAGAGGAGATAAGGATATAGGCACAGAGGGAAGACTATATGAAGACTAAGAAAAGGTGGTCATTTACAAGCCAAGAAGAGAGGCTTCAGAAGAAATCCACCCTGTTGACACTTTGATCTCTAACTTATATTCCCCAGAATTGTGAGGAAAACGTATTTCCAGACTTCTGGCCAAGATGGAGGCATAGGTAGAAATACTTTGCCTCCTTGCACAACCAAAAGAAGGACAATAACAAATTTTTAAAAAAACAACCAGAAGTGCCAGAAAATTGAACTGTATGGAAGTCCGACAACCAAGGAGTTAAAGAAACATTCATCAGCACTGGTAGAAGGGGTGAAGAGGGGCAGACGAGGTGGAGAGAAATCATAGTAAGACTGTGGCTGGAGGACCAGTAGTCCCATATTCGCATGCAAATAAACTGGGAAAAACAAATGGGGAGGGAGACAGACCACACAACCCAGGGTTCCAGCACAATGAAATAAAGCATCAGAACCTCTGGCTGTAAAAACCTGTTGGGGTTGAGGCAGCAGGAGAAACTCCCAGCCTCACAGGAGTGTTCATTGGAGAGACCCACAGGGTCCTAAAATGTACACAAAACCACCTACCTGGGAATCAGCACCAGAAAGGCCCAGTTTGCTTGTGGGTAGCAGAGGGAGTGACTGAAAGCCTGTGGAGAACTCAGCAAGTGGCATTGCTTCCTCTCCAAACCCTCCCCCACATATACTGCCACAGCACAGCAAAGTGGGTTGCCCCGCCCTGGTGAATACCTATGGCTCCACCCCTTACTACGTAACAGGTGCAATAAGACAAAAAAAATTGGCCCAAATAAAAGAACAAGAACAGATCAAAACTCCAGAAATAGAACTAAGCAATCAAGAGATAGCCAACCTATCAGATGCAGAGTTCAAAACATGGGTAATCAGGATGCTTACAGAAATGGTTGAGTATGGTTGCAAAATAGAGGAAAAAGTGAAGGCTATAAAAAGTAAAATAGCCCTGGCTAGTGTAGCTCAGTGGATTGAGTGCGGGCCTGCAAACCAGAGTATCATGGTTCGATTCCCAGTCAGGGCACATGCCTGGGTTGCAGGCCAGTTCCCAGCAGAAGACACACAACAGGCAACCATACATTGATATTTCTCTCCCTCTCTCCCTCTCCTTCCCTTCCCCTCTAAAGATAAATAAATAAAATTTTAAAAAGTGAAATAAAGGAAAATGTACAGAGAACTAACAGTGAAGGGAAGAAAACTGAGACTCAAATCAACAGTTTGGACCAAAAGGAAGAAATAAACATTCAATTAGAATAGAATAAAGAAACAAGAATTCAAAAAAATGAGCAGAGGCTTAGGAACCTCCAGGACAACTTTAAACATTACAACATCTGAATCATAGGGGCTCCAGGAGGAGAAGAGGAACAGCTAGAAATTGAAAATTTATTTGAAAACATAAGTAAGGAGAACTTCCCCAATCTGGCAAAAGGAATAGAATTCCAGGAAGTCCAGGAAGCTCAGAGAGTCTCAAAAAAGTTGGACCCAAGGAAGTACACATCAAGGCACATCATAATTACATTACCCAATATTAAAAATGAGAGAATCTTAAAAGCAACAAGAGAAAAGAGACAGTTACCTACAAAGGAATTCCCATAAGACTATCAGCTGATTTCTCCAAAGAAACCTTACAGGCAAGAAGGGGTTGGAAAGAAGTATTCCAAGTCATGAAAGGCAAGAACCTACATCCAGGATTGCTCTATCCAGCAAAACTACTACTTAGAATGGAAAGGCAGATAAAGTGCTTCCCAGATTAGGTCAAGTTAATGGAGTTCATCATCACCAAGCCTTTATTATATGAAATGTTAAAGAGACTTATCTATGAAAAAGAAGAAGATCAAAAATACAAAGAGTAAAATAACAATAAACTCACAACTGTCAACAACCAAACCTGAAAAAACAAAACCAAAATGAACTAAGCAAACAACTAGAACAGGAACAGAATCAGAGAAATGGAGATTACATGGAGGGTTATCAGCAGGGAGGGGGTAGGGGGAGAATGGGGGAAAAGGTACAGGGAATAAGAAGCATAAATGGTAGGTACAAAATAGACAGGGGGAGGTTAATAATAGTATGGAAAATAGAGAAGCCAAAGAACTTATATGTATAACCCATGGACATGAACTAAGATGGGGGAATGATGGTGGGAGAGGGGGTACAGGGAGGAGGGGGGTAAAGGAGAGAAAAAAGTGGGACAACTGTAATAGCATAATCAATAATATATATGTATATATATAATTTTTAAGGATTTTATTTATTTGTTTTAGAGAGGGGAAGGGAAAGAGAAAGAGAGGGAGAGAAATATCAATGTGTGATTGCCTTTCATGTGCCTTTTGTTGGGTACCTGGCCCACAACCCAGGCATGTACCCTGACTGGGAATCAAACTGGCAACCCTTTGGTTTGCAGGCTGGTACTCAATCCACTGAACCACACCAGCCAGGGACAATAAAATATATTTTTAAAAAAGAAAAAATGTATTTCCACTGTGTAGGCTATCAGATGGTGGTACTTTGTTATGACAGCTGTAGCAAATAAATTCACTTTGTAAAAATTTTATGAAAATACTGACTCTAAAATACAGGAACTCCCCATACAAGCCTATGTCAAGATAACCCTATTTTCAAATGACTCTACAACCATCTATAGGTGTTAACCATTAAAGTGTTTATTTAAGGATTTACTCTTCCACGTTCAATATGAGCACAGATTTTTGGATTCAGACAGAGGTGGGTTTGAATCCTGACTTAACCACTTAAAAGTTATGTAATCTTAACCTCTAAAAACTCAACTTCCTTGTTTGTAATTTGGGGCTAATAATAGCTGCCTCCTAGACATAACAATAATTGGCGTATATATCATAGGCATTTAGTATCAGGTGACTTAAAAATGATAATTACCCAAATTATTAAGATTGGCCCTCTCTAGAAGATGGAATTAGAGCAAAAGTTTACTTAAATGCTTGTGTCAGTTCAACAAACATAGTAATATAATGCCATTTTAAAA